GATTTTCGTCCCAAAAAAAATTAGTATTCCTGTAACTCTTAGTGTGTGGGCTACACCAGGAATCTACATAAGCAGAAAAAGGCTCTATGAACTATATGATGAACGTAATTATAACACAAGTGAGGACTTCAAAGAATATGTACGAAATTACTCTAAATTATTTAAAAAAGTGTGTCGTTTAGCCAAATGTAATTATTTAAATGCAAAAATTAAAAATAGTAAAGATAAAGTTAAAATGACGTGGAAAATCATAAATAGTGAAACTCGAAGAGAAAAATCCCGGAAAATAACTTTTAATTTAAACATTAATAACTAAAAAAGTAACATCAGATCTTGAAGTTGCTACAGTATTTGAAAATTTATTTACTGAAAATCCAGTCTTAATTACACAATCTTTGAATTCCTCTTCCACTGTTGCTGAATCTATTTTAAAGGCAAGTTTAAATAATTGTAATAGCCAATTTAAGTTTCAACACATTGATTTTAAAGATATAATAAAATCTTTTAATCAGCTAAAGAAAAAGAAAACCGCTGATTTATGGGGTAATTCCATTGAAGTTTCTAAATCGGTTATTGAGAGGATAGCTCCAATCCTAGCTTATATATTTAATGAATGTACTGATTGTGGTATTTTTCCTGAGCTCATGAAATATAGTAAAATTATTTCTTCGGGTACACAAATCGGGTAGCACATCTGATCCTACTAACTTTAGACCTATATCCGTGCTACCTACGTTTAGTAAGATTTTTGAAAAAATCATGCTGGATCAAATACAAACATACTTTTACAAGAATAACCTTATGAATCGACAACAATTTGGTTTTACAAGGGGTCGCTCAACAACCGAAGCCGGTGTCGAGTTAATACAAGAAATTTTTAATGCCTGGGAGGATTCACATGATGCGTTAGGTGTTTTCTGCGACCTATCCAAGGCATTTGATTGTGTTTTTCACGAAACATTGATTGGGAAGCTTCATTATTATGGTTTTAGAGATAACTCATTGGATTTTATTGTCTCATACTTAACTGACAGAGTACAGAGGGTTGACATTAATGGCAAAAGATCCCCTGGATCGAAAGTTAAGATGGGTGTTCCGCAGGGCTCAATACTTGGTCCTTTCTTGTTTTTAATTTACATAAATGAGTTGCCTTATTTCGTAAGGGATGATCACGAAATAGTTTTGTTTGCGGATGACACTTCACTTTTGTTTAAAATTAAAAGAGGGTTACCTCTAAATGACGATGTGAACAATTCTATCGCTAAAGTAGTACATTGGTTTAATGTAAATAATCTTCTCCTTAATGAAGGAAAAACAAAATGTCTAAAATTTGTACTACCTAATGTTAAAAAAGTAGATTTAAATGTTTATATAAAAGATAAGAACATGGGCCTTGTGGATACCACAGTATTTTTGGGAATAACATTAGATTCTAAACTACAGTGGGGCCCACATATTGATAAATTGTCGAGTAGACTTAGCTCTGCAGCATATGCCGTAATGAAGATACGTAGGTGAACTGACATAGACACTGCCAGATTAGTATACTTCAGTTACTTTCACTGTGTGATGTCGTACGAAATCCTATTGTGGGGAAATGCTGCCGACATACAAACGATTTTTGTACTTCAAAAAAGAGCAATTAGATCAATTTATAATCTTAGGATTAGGGACTCTTTGAGGGAGAAATTTAAGGAAATAGGCATAATGACTGTTGCTTCTCAATACATATACGAGAACTTAATGTACGTTCGTAACAATATTTGTTTGTTTTCTATAAAAAGCGATGTACACAATATTAATACAAGAAATAAAAATAAATTAACGGTGCCTGTCACTAGATTACAAAAAGTTAATAACTCATTCTTGGGTCTTTGTGTGCGCTTCTACAATAAGGTCCCAAGCAAAATACAACAATTAGATATCATGCAGTTTAAATCTACTATTAAAATAATACTTATTAGAAAAGCTTACTATATGGTATCACATTATATAACAGATAAGAATTCTTGGACTTGAGGTGACTGGATAGGTGATTACTTCTTAACTCATTATATATCAAAAATTTTCTTGCTTCCATTATTATTAAATGATAATGTTATCATTATAAAACCATAGTTGCTTTTTTTTTCTCTTTATTTATAATGTATTGATCTGGTAATGGCATGGTTTTTGTAAATGTCATTACTCCTATTAGAGCTGGTGAGTTTCTTGCTCGTTCTTCTTATCAGCCAAAAGACGTCCTGAACGAGCGGTAGGGAAAAAATGTTGGACGATTCAAAAGTACTTTTAAGAAGTCTATTTGAATAAATATTATTTTGACTTTGACTTATAAATACGAGCGAATACTTTTGCTTCTTGCCTAGACTCATGAGGTTTTGCCTATTCAAACGGCCCATCAGAATCATTTTCCTTGTCCGACTGATTACCAGTAAGATTTGAAGTGTTCGCTTCCGATATTACTGTATAACTTTTGTGAGAATTAAAATATATAATCATAAGCTTTTCAATATTTTTTGGCTTCAATGAATTTCTCCGAACATTTAAAATCCATTTGTACATTGAAAAAGATCGCTCTACGTCAACTGAGGTGAGGTTAGCAAATTTATACACTTCCTCCTCCTCGTCATTAGTGCAGGAAGAAATTTTTTCTACTATATTTCTGATAGTGTCCAAATCAGGATTTCTATCCATGACTTTTCCATTTTATCTTCTAAGCTCTCACAATTTGCCCATCTCAAAGCTAATCTCACTGCATCAAATATTTCAAATGATTCCATTAGAGAAAGATCGTGTTTCTGTAGTGATGTCAAAGCTGTTGGTATACTTGAAAAAATTTCGTAAATACGAGACAAATCATCCTTAATGTTGTCATTATTATTAAAAAAATTTAAAACATTCTCTATTAATTTTGCCTCTTGACTATTCAGCACAGACAATACAGATTTAATTTCATCGAAATGGTTAGCATAATAGAATGCTGCATCATGCCAAGTACCCCATCTGGTAATTACAGGTGCAGTAGGTAAATGTCAATCCGGACACATTTCTTTAAAGATTTTAATTCTTTTTGGTGCCTTCAAAAAAACTTTTTTCATATTTGAAATTAAACTGTCAACATTAGGGTTCTCTTTTCTAATCTGCCCCGGAACAAGATTTAGAGCATGGGCTAAACATGTGAAATGCAACATTTTTGGAAATGTTGATTTTAAAATTCTACCAGCTGATATCATGTATGCCACACTGTCTGTACATAATATTCTAACGTTATCTAGTTTGCTCTCAAATGAACTTCCCCACATATTGTTATAGAATCTTGAACAAATTGTGATATCGTTGTTCCATTTACAGTATCTAGTATTTTACATGCCACTAAGTAAGGCTGATAACACCTACTAGGTTGTAATGGTCTCACCAACAAATGTACGACAGCTCTTCCTAAGAAATCCGTAGTTTCGTCTACTGAAAGCCAAAGCTTTTTATCTACAGTCTTACTTTGCATGTCTTGTGCTTTGATTTTAAAAAGCTGATCCAGGTAACCTTTTTTCAATAAGGATTCACTAGGTAGTTAAATATTTTTGCAATTGCAACACATGTACTTTTGAAAAAATGTTTTAAATACATTGTTGCTCAGTTGGGACCATAGTATGTTACAGAGAATCATAAATTCGATTAAGTCGAAGTAAAATTCTAAAGGAGTGTGGCGCTCGTTCTTCGTGCCTTTATGTACTGCTCCTTCTACATGTCTTTGGACGTTACTCTGACGAGTTGCATTCAAATGTACTTCGCATTTAGAGCAGTAAATTAATCCACTTGCATGGTCGTAAAATAGCTCCGGATTATCTTTGATCCACTTGTTGACGGTGGCTTCTTTGATTGAACTCTGCGCCATGATATTACTTTTAATCTGGAGCAAAAAAAATTATAAATTTTAGAAAACCGTATGAATGTGTGTGTAAGTATGTGAGAGATAGGGCACAACAGTTGCGAAGTTTAAAAGATCTAAGCGTGCATAAATTCATACAGATAGATAGACGGCGGGAAGCGAACTTTGTTTTATACTAAAGTTTAAAGCTAAAAAAGAAAATCAATAAAAGACTACCAGAAAACCTAACTCCAATCGTTAACCATATAGTCAATCAATTAAAAAAACGAGTCCCGCATGTTAAGCTTCTTCAGTAGCATTTGAAATCATTGTTACTTTATTGTGATTGTATCAAAGAACATCTTAAGTTAAACAATACCGATTTTGATAACAATACAAGAAAACGTTCTACATAGGGAAAATCTATTTTAAAGGAAATTTAATAGTGAGGTGAGAGTGTAGGTAGACAACAAAGTCAGCTCAATATTAAAATATCCTTTTAAAATATAAGTAGTGAGACAATCTAAAAATTTTAGAGTGTATTTTGAGTGACTGTGAGTAAATCACCGGGATTATTGTTTGTCAATGAAAATATCACAAAACCAGAGAGATATTTCAGTGTAAACATCACGAACAACTTTTAAAGGATCCAACATACCTAATGCTGGTTTATGCATAAGACTACGACTCATTGCTTCCTATATACGCAAGCACTTATAACATAAGGAATATAAATGAACTTGGTGAGTTGACATTGCATAAATAAAGTGATATGAAAGTGATCGACTATTTGACTTCGACGTTATAACATTTGAAATTTGACACATCTACCTTATCAAAATAAACACAATCAGCTGATTCATTCTAACGAAGTAGCAGAGTAAACGTTTACGTAGTACTGGCTTGTCACTAGATGTCACTGCTGTCTATTACTACAAAAAATATTAATGCTTTTACAATTTTAAAATTGCAATTATATTTATTAACAACCCAAGAATTACAAATAAGGTCAACAGACTTTTAAATACTTTCAATTCCATTTCTAATAATGGACAGGACAACTGACAGTATAACTCAACGGCGACGATTATTGAGATCAAATTCTATCGATCGATCAAGGTTTCTTAGCACAAGCATGGAATCGGTGGATAACACAATACTGGACACAACAATGAGGAGTATTCATAATACATCCTCGTTAGATGGCAGCACATGTACAAATTTAATGGAACAAATCGAAAATTTAAACTTAAAATTAACATCTGCTAATCAAGAAATAGGAAATCTAAAAATGGAAAATATTACATTAAAGACGAAAGTAGAAGAATGCTATAGATTATTGAAAAAGCCATTGCCGGAACACTCTCAGGACAATAATCAGATAAGCAGAGAAATAGAACGGCAAAAGAAAACTACTGCTCCCGCGACGCCATCTATGACTTCGGATAGGAATCATGACGATGACCGGTGTGTGGAAACAACATGCAGCCTACAACCTAAAGCAAGTGCTGTCAACGGATCTTCCTTCAGTAACAAAAAGCATAACCAAGGTGACAATAATAATAGAAGAAAAATATTAATTTTAGGTGATCAGCAAGCCATAGGAGTTTCAATTTTATTATCTAAATACAGAATTAAATATTCTTATGATGATCGCATAATTTCCTCATTTGTTATGCCGGGTGCGGACTGTGGTACAATATTAAGTAGAGCGATGCATGATAAACTAAACAGTGATGATCTTTTGTTTCTAATGATTGGTGCAAATGACAAAAACCCTACTAGGATATTTTGTGAATTGATATCATTTTTATCGCAAAATCAACATCATCAAATTTTTCCGTTACAGACAGTACATAATTCATATTTTAATTTAACGACACTGAATAATCAGTTTATGTTAATATCTCAAAATTACAAAAACTTTCATTTTATTTCACTAAATGAGATCAATTACCACAATACTCATACACTAAATAAAATAATAAGCAAAAAGATATCCCTAGAAATTGATACTTTAGACTATATTATTATGTGTAAGCAAAAGATAAAAGACATAAGAAAATCCAACAGTAAAATGCAATTTACCTATAAAAATACAAGCAAGAAAGGTACTATACCATTCTTTTTTAAAAAAATGACACAAAAACCTAAACTGGAAGAGGTAAACTTACCTTTGAATGAAAATCATGTAAATAACTTTTTGTTGCCAAAAAAGGGAACAATTCCCTACTATTTTCAAAAATATAAAAAAAACCTTTCGGTCTTAAAAAACATAATTTTAATTTATTTCATCAAAATATATGTAGTGTATTAAAAAAAAAGATGAGTTGGAACTAACACTTGATAATTATAGATCTCAAAATAAGAAAATGGATGTTGTATGTTTGTCTGAAACTTTTCTGAAAAGAGGTTCAGAAACAAATCTCACTCTCAAAAATTATAAACTTGGCTCTTGTTGGTCTCGTGACTTCGAAAAGAGAGGAGGTACCTGCATCTTAGTCAGACTAGATTTAGATATCAAAAAGTTTCAACTTACTGATATGATATCTGAATAATATAATTTTGAGTGCTGCGGTATCGTTATAAAAAACCCAAAATTAATACTCATCTGTATATGCAGAACACCTACTTCAAATTTACAGATTTTTTTTGAAAAGCTAGATACTTTATTACATAAATTGCATAAACATATAATTAAAACTACAAAAATTGTTCTTTGTGGGGATTGGAATATTGATCTCATGAAGGAAAACAAGGATCAAACACTAGTCAGTATATTACAAAATCATAATTTCATTATTCGCTAGGTGCACGATGATAGCGCCAACTAGCGGTTACAATTATGTCGGACATTGAAATGTCAAATGGTTGGTATTTAGTACGAATAGTAAGTAAACGAACAATAATTTTATTGAAATAGCGTAATTTACTGAGATTTTATTCGATTATGTAAACCTAAGGTGTCATTAATGCTGTTGATCTTTTTTATTTTCAGTCTAAAATGCCACAATCAATTATGGAATAGAAAAGTCATACTAGTAGTTCACAATTATCTACAACATTAACAATAAAATTTCAAATTGTAAATATAATCACTACTTCTCGAAGGCAGATCTTCACTATATAATAATAATAATAAATTGTCCTTAAAACTATTTCATCTTGCTTGATTATATATACTATAACTTTGACATTAAAATTTGATTATTCAACTAGATTTCATATAAAATTTGGCATAAAAAATATATTTTAGATACAACAAAAAAAGGTAAATTAATATGAAAAATTCCTTAAAATTACACTTTTACGTAACTGATAAATATAAAAATATGTAATTTATATCATGAACATGAGCACATACTTTTCTATGTACTCATACTCCTATTTGGTGAAGCTACAGCTTAGTAATTTTGTTCTTGTTTCCAACTCACTCGAGGAAATCTATAAATTTTTTTATCACTTTTTTGCCATTGTTCTTGCAGCCAACTACACAGCAGGTATCGTGACGCATTTTATTAATTTTTGCTTAAAATTCACAAATAATATGTAAATTTCTTAAGTAAAAAGTGACATTTAGTCCGACAGAGTTTTCCGTTTTAGCCACGGTGCGCGCTGCGATCGATTCGTGTTCTCCCACCTCCTACTTCGCACTCAGCGAATACACATCCTTCGTTCGAGTCCGTAGGAAGTAGGACGATAGACGCGTGTCGCAAAATTTTATAATTTTTATTAATTTTTTAGTAATATTCGTCAAAGGATTATTAACTCTTGGTACTTTAGATAACACATAATTTGGAATAACTTGTGTGGTGTAAAATTGTGTCGCGTGAAGTGCGGTGGTACCTGAGGCTGCTAGCGGGGGACCCCCTCACCGCTACGATAAGAGATAGCGGCCATAATTACCCGCTCGCTCGCACTTACGTTCTACTGCACCGCGAACCGGTTAGCTATGCCGTCGAAGATGAGTCAATGCGCTGCTTCTCAAGATCCGATAATTGATGCACGTTACTTAAAATGTCAACGATGTTCATTGAAATACCATTATTTGTGCCTTAATCTTGATGATGAACAAGTGAATGCTTTAATCTCTGAATATATGAGGTCTTGGTGCTGTCCAAACTGTTTGTGTAAACAAAGGAAAGGTGATAACTCGGAGGACCCTGTTCGCCCAACTACGCCGACTAACACAGCCGAACTCACGTTCAATGTGACGCGGCGGCGGCGTAAAGTACTAAAACATGATTCATTGTTGCTGTCTAAACCATCGCCTGCGCCGTTGGTGTCATCGGACGATAATAGATTGCGTAATATAAGACACATAATTCGAGAAGAAATGCGGTACGCATTAAAGGATAACATGAAAGATTTTAATACTACTTTAGACACCCGCTTTAAGGTATTGTCGGACCAAATAAGTGAATTTCAAGACTCCTTAAACTTCTTGAGTACTGAATTCGATAAGCTTAACTCGATCACGACATCAACAGCTTCTGAACTTAAGACGGTAAAGAAAGAAAATGAATGCCTTCGTACTGACCTGAATAACCTTTCTATTCGATTTAATCAACTGGACCAATTGTCAAGATCTGCGAACTTGGAAATTCAGTGTGTGCCCGAATTTAAGGCTGAAAATGTCGTAAATATCGCCAAACAAATTGGTGTCTTAACTGGCACTAAACTTACTGACAGCGAAATTATTTACTGCTCAAGAATTGCCAAACAGAATTCGTTAAGTAAGCGCCCGCGCAATATTTTGGTAAAATTTAATACCCTCCCGTACACGTGATACTTTTCTAGCTGTGGTTGTAAAATACAACAAAGATAATTCACAAGATAAGCTTAACACCAGCCACTTAGGGATAGCCTTGGAGCGAAAAAAGCCCATGTATGTCACTGAAAACTAGTCACCTGAGAATAAGGCATTACACGCTGCAGCTCGATTTCGTGCTAAAGAGCTCAACTATAAGTTCGTGTGGATTCGAGGTGGTCGAGTGTACCTTCGCAAAACGGAATCTTCAGACTCGATATTTGTTAAACATATGGACACTCTGAAAAATCTCTGTTAGGGTGGCCTATGTATTATGTTTTTGCCAGCTGTCTTAATATAAAACAAGCATGTACCTATTCCTTTTTTGTTTTTTACAATGGTTGCAGATCAAATTAGTGTATATTTTCAAAACGTAAGAGGGTTACGCACAAAAACAGACTTAGTATATAGAAATACATTAGCCTGCAACTATGATGTATTAGTTTTTTGTGAATCATGGTTAAACCGCAGTATTTCCAGCTCAGAGTTGTTCAATAATAATTACACTGTTTATAGACGTGATCGTGAATCATCCGGTTTTCATGCAGATAAGGGTGGAGGTGGTGTATTGGTAGCTGTATCTCGCAATATAAACTCGGTAAGGTTGTTAAATTGTGAAAGTAAATGTGAAGACTTATTTTTGGAATTAAAAATAAATAAAAGTAAATCCATCTTGCTGTGTGCTGTCTATTTGCCTCCTCCAACAAAACAACACATCCTGGAGCATTTTATTCATAATTTGAACATCGTCCTTGAGTCACATAAAAGTATATTACTATGTGGTGACTTCACTATGAGCAGTCTTTCTTGGGTTGGAACGCCAGGCTTACCACTTAAAGCCATTTTAAATAAAAATAATGACATGAATAATTCGTTTTTGAACTTTATTACATTGAATGGACTGCATCAATATAATTTTGTTAACAATAATTTGGGTAAGAGCTTAGACTTAGTTTTTTCATCATCTTCTGATTGGATATCAGATTTTAATGTATCTGAACTACCTATTACTATTGTAGATAACCTTCATCCTCCCCTTAAATTTTCAGTTTCTATTGTGCAAAGCAATCACACATCTTTAAATATTTGTGAAAGTATTTGTGCGATATAAACTGGGTTGAAGTGTTTGATTGCTGTATTTGTGTTGACGATATGGTAGATAAATTCTATGATGTTATTAATTTAGCAATAAAAAAATTCGTACCATTTACTAGGGTTACTAGGGTTACTAGGGTTAGGGTAGGCCTACATCGCCCCTGGTTTGGTTTTCCCATAATTTAATTAAGTTACTTAGAGAAAAGAATTAATATAGAGTTCGTTTTAAAAAATATAACAATCCTTTGGACAATCTCACCTTTTTAAGTTTAAAAAAGAGATGTCATTCTCTCATATTAACATGTTACAACAACTATCTTTCACGAATAGAGTCTTCAATAAAATACAATCCTAAACTGTTATGGTCATATATAAAGCATTAGCACTCTAATGCAAGTGTCTACCCCTCTAGAATGCTTCTTGGCAATAAAATAGCAACAACTGGCACTGAAACTTGGTGGCTTCATGTTTCGAATCTGTTTATGATAAACCTTCCTCCCATACTCCATCTCATGAACCAAATATTACCCTGGCCTCTAATACGCTCTGTAAAGTAATTTTCTCCCCAGATGAGGTCCACAAAGGCATAATGAGACTAAATAAAAATAAAGATGCTGGTGCCGATGGGGTCCCATCTCTTTTTGTTTATAATTGCGCTAAATTTATTTCACATCCCCTATGTACTATATACAATAGATCGCTGGTATGCGGTAAGTTTCCCACGACATGGAAAAGTGCCCTCGTTGTGCCTGTTACCAAGTCTGGGGATACTACGCTGGCTTCCAACTACCGACCGGTTTCTATACTCTCTGTTTTTGCCAAACTGTTTGAAGCACTATTATGTCCCATAATATCTTGGCACATAAAACCACTGATAAATTTAGAACAACATGGCTTTATTCGTGGTCGTTCTACCACCACAAATCTCACTTGTTTTGTTAACGACTTGGTATCCTGTCTTGACAAACGCTTACCTGTTGATGTAATTTATACAGATTTCTCTAAAGCGTTTGACAAAGTTGACCACGACATCATGGTGGAGAAACTGTCAGCGTTTGGAATCGGAGGTAGCCTACTAAATTGGTGCTCCTCATACTTGAGAAATCGCACTTCTACTGTAGTTATGAGTGGATATAGATCCGATCCCTTCCTAGTATCATCTGGGGTGCCGCAAGGATCGCATATAGGACCTATATTTTTTATATCTTTATCAATGACATTAAATCTTGTTTTCATAACTCTTCTGTCTACCTCTATGCGGATGATTGCAAACTCGCAAGGCCTATCAACTCAGGCGCAGATGCTGTTCTCCTGCAGGATGACTTAAATAGGCTAGAGGAGTGGTGTGTTAGCAATAAATTGTCCCTGAACATTGATAAGTGCTACTATATGCATTTCTCTAAAAGTAAAAGACCCGCTCTTAACAACTACATACTACAAAACAAAATTATAACATCGGTTAAAACTGTTAAAGATTTGGGTGTCACCATGGATTGTGAGCTCAAGTTTAACAAGCACATTAATCATATTACAAATAAGGGCTTCAAATGTCTTGGATTTATAATCAGGAACTGCAAAGATTTCAAGCAAGAATCATCAAAAATTTGCGTCTTTAACAGTTTGGTGCGATCCGGTCTAGAATATTGTAGCGTAGTGTGGTTTCCTTTTTATGAAATTCGTTCCGCTCATACATTGATAGGCTAAAGCATTTCAACATGAGTCCTTTAAAACAACGAAGGCGGATTATTGATCAAATGTTTCTTTACAAAATTGTGAGAGGATAAATTGACTGTCCTGACCTACTGGGGAATTTGTCTTTTAATATACCTATAAAACTCCCGCGTATAACTCAATACCCCCTTTTTTCTCTTAAGGCTTCTCGAAGCAATTTGGGCCTGAACTCACCATTTGTGAGAATTCCTTATGCCTACAACAGTTTGTCAAAAAAAAGGTGATTTTGACCTTAATAAACCCAACCTTCCTAAATTTAAAAGTGAGTTGTTGAAGTTGTTGTAATGTAATAATTATTGTGATACCTAGGTTATTTGTAACTATAAGCTAATTTAATTTATTTTTCATTTTTAGTTCTTGTAAAATAGCTTGTAATTTGCACATAACTTTATTTCCTAATTTATTAAACGCATGTCGTGGCAGCTTGTAATTAAAACAACACGCTTGCTTGAGCCACTATCTCTAGTACTAACTGTTACCTTGTGTATGTTTTGTAAGTTGTCCTAATTAAACAAATAAATAAAATTAAATAAAAACACCTACAAGAAAAAATGCGTGTCTTGATGAGATTGTGAGTAATATACGAGACGGTATAGGAATGACTGAAGACTTGTATCTCTCGGATCATAACACATGCCAAATACTATCTTTTCACATAAAAAATTGGGATATTATTACACATTGGACGGAATTCAAAAGAGATTTTAGTTGTGAAAATAAATTTAAGTTCTATAATTATATAAAATCCTTATCCTGATGATAAATATTTAATAACAGGAGATTTTAATTTAAGTAATATAAATTGGATAAAAAGAAGTGTTGATGGTTCTCACTACGAACCTTCAAATTTTAGTACTAGTGACGAGATTTTACTGGTCGATGAGATTAGTACTCTTGATTTAAAGCAATTTAATGGCATTAAAAATGCTTATGGGAGGACTTTGGACCTTTTACTATCTAATGATAATATCCAGGTAACAGATTGCAGTGACGATCCGCTTGTACCTATTGATTTACACCATGGCGCTTTGAATTTTGATATAGAATTTGCTAATTTTGTCCCCTTAAATGATGCCCCTCGCATCAAATATCTTTTTAATAAAGGCGATTATAATACAATTAATTCAGAAATAACTAAAATAGACTGGCATTATGAAT